AAAAATTTAAACCACTTATAAAACTGCAGTCTCATTTTGATGTGTTTTAAATTCCCTACCCCTAGAAATATAAATATCATGTCCAAAAAATACTAGCTTGCTTTTAAGATCTCCAGACTGATAAATGAATCTGTGCGTATTCTGTCTTTAAGTTACAGATAGGTTCGTATAAATTTGTGAGCCTGTGTAGAAAAATTCCTCCCTTTTTTATTTCTGTCTTCAGTTTTATTAGACTCCTCTGCCTCACATTTAAGAGCGCTGACTCTAACCACATGCTTTTGCCTGAGAAAATTCCTGTCATGACTGCTTTTATCAGGTGATAAAAGGGACCCCCTCAGTGACAGTGATGGGGCATGGCAGCCTGGAGGTGAAAGAGTTTTATTATACAACCCTGGAAGCAATCAGTCAGAACTCTAGGAGCCTGGAACCAGAAGGCAAGCCGCAGTTTCTCTTGCTTCCTGCTTCTCACAGTTACTTATTGATTACCTACTGTATTCTCATCGATGAACCCGGACTGCGGTGGAAATGGTGTGTCACGGGCTTTATCAAAAGAAGTAAAGTCATCAAGAAATGACTTCTAATTCTCTCAGCTTAGGGGTAAATATTTTAAAAAGGGATATGTCAGGTTGTTTAGAATTTGAGGCTTCCCTGATAATGTCTGTTTTGGGTATCTTTTCCTATATAATGTGGTGTGTATATCTGCATCAAATTGCATGTGAATTTTCATGATTTGCCCATGTTCACTTACCAGTTCTTCATTTTTCCTTCCAAATGTCATATGCCACGGTTTAGTTCTTGAAGTATTTTTAAACACTACAGCCAAAGTCCTTTAAAATGCTCACATGGGCCGGGCGGTGGTGGCGCACGCCTTTAATCCCAGCACTCGGGAGGCAGAGCCAGGTGGATCTCTGTGAGTTCGAGGCCAGCCTGGGCTACCAAGTGAGTTCCAGGAAAGGCGCAAAGCTACACAGAGAAACCCTGTCTCGAAAAACCAAAAAAAAAAAAAAAAAAAAAAAAAATGCTCACATGGATGTATTTATTATACACAATAATGGCCCTAGTAGTAGTGGTGCATAGGTATCTGTAGAGGCCAGGAGTGGGCATCTCATTCCCTGGAGCTGAGGTTACCGATAGCAGTGAGCTACCAGACGCAGGGACTGGGAACCAAACTCCAGTCCTCTGCAAGAGCAGCACAATGCTCTTAACTGATGAGCCATCTTTCTGAACCCCTAGTAGTTTTTCCATAATCCTCTTCTGTGATGGATCAGTTTTGTTTGTTTTTTATTATGACGGTCTTTGTTGTGCCTTGAACAGCCCGGTGACTTGTTGCAGGCTCTGCCTCCTGGCCAGCATGGACAACACTGCCTGCCAACCTCCCCTTGGCAGACCTGAGGAGAATTTATTACTTTCCTAAGATAATAAATGAAAGTTTCAGAATACAGAGGCATCGGGAGGAGCTTTTTTAACTTTATATTCCACTGACAGTGGTATTTAAACACTACCAGGTCCTGTGATTCATTCTCAGCTCTTTGTCACAGAAGGTCCTTGAATTATGTCATAAGTTCATTAAGGATGCACTTGCATGCCCTACCAAGGGGGTCTGATTGCAATATTTAATTGGAATTGACGTTATTGACTTTGACACCAAATGTGGACTGGGGTGCACGTTGTAGCTCATGCCTTGTCTGGTGATGGAGAGGTCTCAAGACTCTTGGAGGAAGGAGAGGAGTAGTGTTTGGTAAGGGCTGGCTTAGGTTTGGCTGTAGGTATTTTACCAAGTGGTATGGAAGTTTAGTTATTGGCTGCCTCAGAGGTCATAGTGGTGCTACACAGTCCTGGCCCCTTTGTAAAAGGAGTGGGTAGAGAGATTTGTGTAGCCAAGTGCCTGCTGCTGTAGAGCTCACTTTTCTGTCCCCATGAGATGTCTTTAGAGCCTGATGCAGATGCTAAATCTAACCTTTTTATTTTCTTGCCTGGTGTTGGGAGGCTCCTTTGGAAAAAAAAAATTAAAAATTCTGAAAGAGTAAATTTGTTAAATTTTTCTTGATTAATAGCAAGGTACAAGGATTGAAATTTTCCTATGAATTTGTTTACTACCTTTTAGTGTACTTAATTATCCTGTAAGATTAGATTGACCCAAGATAATGCATGCATTCCTAGTTCAAGTTCACCTCAGCTTCTTACTTATAATAACTACAAAACTTCAATGATCCAGACATTGGTGTTGAAATACAGTAGTGGGCATAATTGGGGGGAAAAAGTCCCTGCCCTTTTAGTCTGTCAGAGGGGGGAATTGACATTGAACAATTCAGCCAGCTCTGTAGTATGCTGGAAAACTATTCAATGCTGGTCTACAGGCATCAAGCTGGGAAGCAGGTGCGAGCTGTTGGGAGTTGGAGATTCACTGGGGAGGTGCTATTTGAGAAATAACCATCAGAGAATGAGGGATATGATACTGTGTTGTCAGAAGAGAGAGTTCTAGGCCCAGAGAACAGCAAAGGTAACCACTCTGAGATTGGGAAAGCAAGAAGACAGTGTGGCAAGGACCGTATGGCTGATGTGAGTCAACCATCCCTGGAGAAGGAGAGCTCTTGGAGCCATATCATCACTTAGAATTTTTTTCACTGGGCCAAATGAAAAGTCATCAATGGACTTTGAGTAAAGGGGCTTACTGTGGTGTGCATCCTAACAAGGCGTTGATGTGTTAAGAAAGGTTAGTAGGGAAGTGATGTAGAATTAAGTCAATTTAGAAGGTTTTCAGTGATTCAGAGGGGGACAGAAGTCATCTGGGTGCTGGATGTTAAGGAGAGAGCCAACAGACCAGAGGCAGTGTGGATGGAGCGAGCAGATGAGGCAGTTGGAAGATGGGAGCAGGGCTTTCTCTTTGCTGATACTTCCAGGACTATGAAGAAAACAGCTTTGCTGCTGACGGAGAAGTGGTGATTATCAAGAGCTCAGGTGCAGACATGCTAACATCAAGTATCCTTATCACATATAGGGGAGAAAGGACAGGGGTCTAGGATGGAGTCAGGAGTTTGGGATATTATATAAGGAATACTTAAAATCAAGAAAATCACGGGATTGCCAGGAGAGTGAATGTAGACACTAAAAAACGAATTATATACTGTGGGGGAGTCCCAGAGATGTTCTTCAAGACATGAACAGTAATGAACAGCAAAATGGAGTAGCTGGAGTGTGGTGCCACAGGAGTAAGGAAAGGTTTGAATAGCAGTGCTCAGCTATGCTTAGTGCTGCACAGGTCAGTGACTATTATTTATGATCAGGTTTGTTGACTTATTATTTTTAGCAAAAGTATTAATGGAACAAAGGTTTGGAAAAATTTCGTTGGAAGGACTTGAGTACAAAATAGGATATTTAGAACTATTTATACAACTCTGTGAAACAGTGTTCCTGTAAGGGCAGAAGTTAAGATAAGATGGTAAGGCCGTTGACCAGGAGGCATCAGCCAGCCTGCTGAGAAATGCTTGTCTTGAAGTCTGCAGTCACCTGCCATGGGGCCACAGGGGATGCTCGTGCACAGTGACCTCTAAGGACTTGCCTCTCATCTGTCTGTCTGTCTGTCTATCGATCGATCGATCGATCGTTCGATCCAGCGATCAATAGATATCATATGTTGCAAGTTGCCTTCTGACCTCCACATGTACAATGTAGCACAAATCTGAGTAACACAGGCACATATGTACATACACATACACACACACATACACTAAGAAATGTAAAAAAAATTAAAGAGCTGATTCAGTCTATGTTTTTGGTACAAATATATATGTTAACCTGTAAAAAAAAATCTACACGTGACATGGAAGTGAAAAGGAGAATGGGGAAGAAGGACGTGTGTGTGTGCGCGCACGCGTGCATGCATGCATGCATGTATGTATATATGTATATGTGTGTTATTTACATTTTTAAAGCACCAGTTAGATACTTTATTTTTTTTTGTGGTTTTCAGCATTTTATTTTTAATTTTACTAGGTGCAGTTGTGACACTCTTGAGTAAAGTGTGCATTACTTGATTCTCCTCTCCGTATGCTGTACTCTTGGCTCCTTTGCTTTCCTGATGGCTTCCTTCCCGTTCTCCTTCCCGCTGCACTGTCACACGGAGATGTTTTTTTTTTTTACATGTTTTTCATGTATAACGTCATACCGAAAAACATAGATTGAGTCAGCTCGTCAATACTTTTTACATTTGTGTATGTGTGTGTGCACGTGCTGCACACACCTGCACTCCCCTGTTCATGTATGTGGGGAGGCCAGAGGTTAGTGTTAGAGGTCTTCCTCTTTTGTGCTCTGTTTTTGATACAGGGTCTCTCACTGAATCCTGAGCTCACCAGTTGGTTTGACTGGCTGCCCAGGGGGACTGTGATCCACTGGTTTCCTCTGCCCCCTCCAGACACTGGGGTTACAGATACGGGACACCATGGGGTTACAGAGGCGGAACACCATGGGGAATGTGGGACACCATGGGGTTACAGATGTGGGACATCATGGGGGGAGGATGTGGGACACGGCATTACAGATGCAGGACACCATGGGGTTACAGATGTGGGACACCATGTGTGAGTTTTAAGTTGATGCTAGGGATTCAAACTCAATACCTCATGCTTGTGCAGCAACACTACCCACTGACCCGTCTTCCCAGCCCCTTCCATACTGTTCTTTGCATCTAATAATTTCTCCAGAACTTTCCTCAAAAGTTAGCTTTTAATTGTGCCAGTTTGAAGTCTTGTACACTGGAGACTGTGTGTCAACCCCATCATAGGCTAATTTTTTTTTTAAAGAAGGGCCATTTGTTTCTGTTTTTTTATGTGTCCATCTCCTTGTCTACCATCTGTACATGGCAGATGCTCCGTAAATATTTTCGAGTGAATGGCTATTGTGGTTTGTTTTATTTGACGTGTTTGCTATGGAGATCAGGGCCATCCTGAAGTTTGTGATTGATTTCTACATGTAGGATTCTTTGGCCATCTTGTTTTCTGCAGAGTTCCACTGACGGGGTCATGGTAAGGACAGGGTCACTGCAGCTCAGTAGCTCGGCAGTAGGAACTTTGTCTCTGAAAAGAACGAAGCGAAAAGCACCCGCGCCACCTTCGAAAACACCCCTGCAGCAGAATGATGAGAACAGCGCTGCGTCTGATAATGGTATTCTCTTGTGAACAGTTGGTTGGCTTTGGCTTTGGGTTTTAATACAGTCAGTAAAAGCAGTGTGAGTCCTAACTTTTGTTTTTCTCCTTTTAGACAGGCTTTCACTATATATCCTTGGCTGGCCTAGAACTCCCTAATCAGACCAGGCCAGCCTCAGACTCACAGAGATCTGTGTGCTTCTGTCCCTGAGTGCTGGCATTTGAGATGTATGTGCACTTGGCTCATGCACTCGCTCACACGCACTCTCTCTCTCTCAAATATATATAATGTGTATATATGCATATATAAAAATTGTATTAATATATGTATAGATAACGACACTAGGCTTTTAAAATAACCTGATTATTATTGCTTAACTGCTTTTGAAGAGTCTTCAATGAAATATGACAAAATTATACCACTTCATTATTGTAATGAGCGTGTGGACAGTGTGCAGCTTTACTCAGAAGATACTGTGATTCCGGGTTTGGCTATATAGAAATGGGGATGGAGGGTGAATGTAGTCACTTCACAGCTGGTAACTTAAATCTCATCCTTCCTGGATTAAGTAAAAGTCATTAAGTCATCGGAGTGTGACTTTTTATCGGTGTTCTTACATCTTTCAGCCCTGCCTTCAGAAGATGGAATTTCTCCAGACAGCGCTTTGGAAGCAAACTCTCCTGAGGGCCTGTCCAGCCCAGGTATGCCCGCCCCCCAATCACTGCACACTGCAGCTGTGAAGGAAAGAAATGTCTTGACGGTTGAGAAGTGAATCGAACTGGAATTCCAGCTCCTCGTACCGAGAGAGATTTGAATTCTTTGGTGTCCTTTCCCCACAGTGTGCTATGAAACAAATCCTTTGTTTCCTCCCTCTAAGGATTAGATGCCAGGTTTAGAAATTGGCAGAGATGAACATTTCAGTTCTGGAGCTGGACCCTGAGTGCTCTCTATTTTCTCTCTTGTTTTTCCTTATTCCTTATCTAGTGGACAGTTAACAGCCTCCTTCTAGGTAGGGATACACCACAGTGGGAAGATTCTTCTATGTTTCAAAGGCTTCACGTTAAATACAGTCTCTTTCAGCAGCTGCTTCCAATATGAATTCAGCATTCTAACGATGAATTTTGTTCACATGCAAATACCTTGCACAACATAGCTCACACTATGGATTCTGAAGTTAAAAAAATAATAAAAGAGTTCGATCTGTTTTTAATATTTCAGTACTAACTACCTAGTCGCTTTTGAAGGAGAAATATGAGCTGGGTGTAGTGGTGCATATCCATAATTTCAGCACTTGGGAGGCTGAGACAGGAGGCTCCATAGTACCAGGCTAACCTTCAAGAAGGAAAAAAATATGTTAAAAATGTCTTAGTCTTAGTACATTAGCATGGAGGTGACTAAAGGTATGACTTTAGGAATTTGGGATTTTAAGTCATAAAAGTATCTCCTGTTTATGATTTAAGATAAGTAGTAGTGCTTTTTTTTTCTTAGAACAGTCTCAAGAGCACCATCTCATTCCACACAGGAAATTTATCAGATACTGTTGTCAATATAAAATATATAGTGGAATTAGAAGATTTTTGAAGTTTAGGAAAGATGGGACATGCTACTCAGACCTTGTCCCATATCTGAGTCTCGCTTTACCTTTCCAGAGCTATTCCGTGGGCCAATGGGAGCTAACAGCACTGACTTCCCACTGCATCTTGATGTCTGCTTGCTTTGTGTTAACTCTCTTGTCTAAGTGCCATTTCCACAGACTCTGCTTCTTTGGCAGCCGGCTCCCCTGGCCCCGGGTTCCTAAGCCAGGAACGGCGCGCTGTGCCCATGCCGGAGGATGAACTCTCGCTCTCTGAGGGCCCTGGGACTCCAGAGGCGGCTGTAGCAGCGTCCTTGACATGTAGGTGCTCAGGCCTTAACTGGCTGTGGCTTTGGAATACGCAGAGGAAGATACCATTGAGTGTAGCTCAGATGACTTTTGACAGTCTCTAAAGTGTTTTATAAGTAAATAAGCGTCTCTCCCTTTCTCCCAGTTTGAAATGTGTGGTTTTCCTTAACCATCTAAATAAGCAGGGCAAAGAGGAGGGGAGTCACTCAGTGGCCCTGAGGATCACTTTCACTTGTGTTTGGTTTCCTAACTATTCTGAAGGGCTGCTTGAACTTTATCATTTTCAATGACCATATAAGAGACTATTTCCAAGTATTCTTTATTGAGCTGTCTCTTTGTTAGCTATGTGGCTTATTTTCTCTAATGTTATTCTCAGATGCCTTTTCTCTTTTGGAAGTAGGATTATTTTGTGATTAAGATAGCACAATGTTATAATTATATAAAACTTGAATCTCCTCATGAATTGACTCATTTTTTTTAATGACTCAAAAAAGCCCTTTATCATTTCAACTTAGCTGCCTAAAATTAGTATGCTGTCACGTGCTCCTTGTGAGAATGCAAACTTGTCCGAGGACTTTGTCAAACAGTTTGAGAATTTTTGGGGGGGTGGTCTTCATGCTAAGGGGGCAGGGATCTCCTACTGTGCCATCGTTTAGCTCTTGGCAGGGTATTTAAAGTGAAATGTACACACTCATCTCTCATATGACTCAACAAGCATTGCCCATGGGCATTTTTCAAGAAAAATGAAAGTCCAAATACATACGAAGCCTGCGGTGTTACAGATTCCATCATGGCAATTGCCTCAAAGGGGGAAAATACCCAAATATTTCTAAACTGTAAAATAGTTAAGTTTTAACTCGTCCATACAATGCAGTGCTGACTAGAAAGAGAAGTGTGTTTAGGACTGATTTAACAGAGCTATATTTTACCAAAGGCACAGTATCTATCAAGCAATTTTTCCATTTTGATGAGAACCAGGAAAAAACATGGTATCTAAAGACATATTTAGATGTTAAGTTTAATAGCTTTACAATTCAAATGCAGTGGACACATTCTTTGAAGTATTAGTTGTGTTTCATTTTTATGTTTCAAATTTATTTAAATTCAAATTTCTTAAAATTTTTTGTTAAGTAATCACATTTTTATACAGGAAATAATCAGTAGTACTAACCACTAGTGCTTTTTTCTTTCTTTCTTCCTTTCTTTCTTTCTTCCTTTCTTTCT